TTTATCTGGCATAAAATAGAAATATTAAATATGATGCAAAATGTGGATTCCACCAGTAGTGAATGTATAAAAACAAGTTAGTAATTTGAGGATTAAATAAAGTGACCCAAATTGAACACATTACTCCACATTTAGACAAATCAGCATCCTATAGGATGAAACGTTGGCCTCCTTGTACTCAATATTTCTATGTGTAACAAACTAACATTTTGTGGGGCCCTGCATGGCATGGTGGTTAGGGTGCTCGACTCGCAATCTAAGAGTCACGGGTTCGAATCCCCGTCACACCAAACATGCTCGCCCTTTCAGCCGTTATAATGTGACGGTCAATCCCACTATTCGTTGGTAAAAGAGTAGTCCAAGAGTTGGCGGTGATGACTAGCTGCCTTCCCTCTAGTTATACACTGCTAAATTAGGGACGGCTAGCGCAGATAGCCCTCGTGTAGCTTTGCGCGAAATTCAAAACAAACAAACAAACATTTTGTGAAATTATACAAAAAGTACAAGTGAGAAATTCGATAGATAAAATCATTTTGATTAAAAATATATAGGCCTGTCATGACCTGGTGGTTATGGCGCTCTACTCGCAATTTGCGGGTCGAAAGTTCCAATCCCGTCACCGAACATGCTCACTGTGGGGTTCTTATGAATAATGTGATGGCCAATCCCACTATTTGAATATAGTAGCCCAAGAGTTGGCGGTGAGTGGTGTTTATTAACTGCTTTCCTTAGTATGTCACTTCTAAATTAGGGATGGATAGCGTAGATAGTCCTCGAATAACTATGCGCGAAATTCCAAATACAAACAAACAATATGCATATATTGTAGGTGGCGTATTTCATTTAATTCACTTGCTAGCGAGAATAAAATTTGTTACTTCGCAGTTAGTTAGACGCGGGTAAAAAGAGATATTAAGAGCGTTTTGAAAGGGTTAAGTTAGAAAAAGAGTGTGTGTGAAAAGTAAGCAGTTTCACTTACTTTGGTGTTGGAGTTTATGTAGATGGTAACGGCACAAATGAATATGTATTACTTAATCTATGAATTTAACATCCTTGCGAACCTCTGTGGATAATCGTAAGCGAGAGGATCATGGCGCCGAATCTCTTCGTGCATTGTGTCGTGGTACAACTACAACCTACAAGAATCTGAGTGCAGGGTATGGTACTAGTAATAGTAGTATTAGTATTACAGTACTTGTAAGTTGTAAAAGTTTTCTAAGTTATTATTAATGTTGAATGCTGTAATTTGTGCAGTAGGGTTATACATTGCAAAATTAAATAAGATTTAAAAACATTATCTTGGAAAGTATTAGTATTACTAGTAGAATAGAAAGGGAATCCCCGGGATTAAATCTCGAAAAGTGATGTATCCAAGTTGTAGGTCTATTAAAATTTAAAGGCTGTAATGAACAGTTTGTAATTTTTAAAAATCGTAAATAATGGAACATTGAAAAGTAAAAAAGAAAAACAGATCTTGTAAATTACTCGGTTTAAAATAGCAGAAAAATGTGCAAAAACAAGTTTTAATATAGAGTAGAACTTAGAAGCACTTCTATTTAAACAAGTATAACCATGGGTATTAATTATTTCAGTATTTTGTATAGTATTACTAGTACTAGCCTAGGGCTATGCTTGTGTGATGGTTAATTTTAACTTAAGTAATTTTTGATAAACATGCCTGTGGTCATTTAATTTTAAGACATGTAAAATTGGAAGGCTGTAAACTGTGAAATAAACCATTTTTCAATTTTTACACTGCTTTCCAAAATAGGTAATAATTATATTATTTTATATGCAAGTTATATTGAATTAAGTTTGCTTGAGATGAAGTAGAAACTAAGAGGTACAGTTGATGTACCATATACAAATCACACTGACATACTTAGTTTCTTATTGGTTCTGTTTTTATCCAACTTTATAAGAAATTGGTCTGTTTAGGCCTGGCTTAAAAATGCTTTTGTTTGCTGTAACCCTAAACTGATTTAAAAATAAATGAGGTAAATATATATATATATATATATTTTTTTTTCAAACTGGTTTGTGCAAAAATATTTCAGAAGTACCACTAATGCTAAACTATGAATACAGTTACAATCAACATTTATTCTATGAAGAGAATTGCAGAAATTTCAAATTCTGATGCAACACACACTTGATGGTTAATGTCAACGTCGATCAACAAAGTTGAATTGACTGTTGCTGACAATTTTATGGTTTGTTCATCCATTTCATCTCATTTGCCAAGTAAATCTACGAGTACTTTCCTCCAAGTGGATAAGTTCCAATTGGAATTAATTTGTTTTGTTCCTGATACTCAATCTGCAAAAACATATTTCAGACACACATACACTGAACAGACTTGTGTTGGCTATGTTGTTGATGTATGCTTGTCAATAGTAAATTCTTCCCTGTTAGATTGTGCATTTATTAGTTTAGGGTGAAGGGTCCTGGGGATGAGATAAGCCATGTTGTTAAACCTCAATGCATAGGTCAATCAGCATAGAGCTGTTGATTAGTAATCAGGTGATGCTCTCCCACATTGTCATGGACTCCATGAATTTCCGAGATAAAAATGTTAAAGTTGGCAAATTTTGTTAAATGGGTCAGTATATCAGCAGAGATATCCCAAGTCATAATGTAAAAAAAAATCTGTCATTCCAATTTCAGATGGTCGGTTGGGTTACAGCAACAGAAATATTTTAAAGCCTGGCCTTATCCTCATATTCTTTGATTCTCTAGTTTTGCTGAATTTGTGAGCAGAGTTGAAGCTAGAATGATTTGAGTGGTGAGTGGTAAAAACCAGTAGCCCATAGATGTACATTCCTGTGCCTGTCACCATCTCCCTCCCCCCTTGGCCAGACAAAAAAAAAGTTATAATTTTAATGTTTATAATTTTAATGACTTTACAAATTTGTAAATTCCTTCGGAAAGTCTTATAAAATACTTCGCATGAGCAGCTACTAGGTAAATGTGTTATAAGATGAATGATGAGTCTAAAAAATATGTGGAGACAAATTTTACCATAGGCAGTTTTATTTTTCTGATTGATCTATCAGGTGATTGATACAAATTAGTCACAATGAGATTAAAAACTATTTTTATGCAAAAATATATTGATGTACTTTTATATTTTAGGTATTTGAAAAATTTTGAAAATATTTTTACATGTCACATAAACTTTTACTGAAAAGAAAATAGGCTTTGTATGGTATCCACTGTGGATGATACTGTCTGATGTGCCATGCTATGTACAAGTGAATTAGTGTGGCATGGGATGTTTGTTCAGTTTGGCATGCAGGGTTTTTTTTCCAGTGGATTTTTCTTAAAGTATTTTAGCATGAAGGTTAGTTGCTTCATGATTTTTCAGGAAAAGTGTTTGTTCCTAACAGGCTCTTTGTGAAGTAAACTGTACCGTGACATATACAAAGAAATTTTTCGTGTATATGATGAACTTTTTCTCAGTGATATTTAGTGCCGGGCAGTAGTAGTTGCATTACATAGAAGTGTTGGGTAGG